GTCTGGCATCAACCAATCAGGTAACGGACACATGCCATTATCAAAAGTAAGGCGCAAGGGAGCTCAACTCAACCGACTTGAACGTGGCACATACTTTGCGCGCGCTTTTTGCCTCTTAAAATTCCTCGTGATGCCTTCTCCTTAGCTCAGCACAATGATAATCACTCACTGTCTTATATCACAAGACAACGAAAGTGAATGTGGTCTGAAGCCACATCGTGTCGACAAATTGAGTCTATGTATCAATCAAGCGTAAATAACCTTTACTCACTGTTTTTCCTAGTCTCTTAATCAATCGACCGGCTTGCTTTAGACCACTCTCTCGCCTTTTCGCTCTCTTTCGTGCCCGATCTCTTGCTTGAGTCCAGCAACTTCAGACCACAGTTCTGTCAGCCTGTACAAGCAGTTTTACGCTCCGCCAGCCAATCCTTGGCGAACTAGGGCAACATGCCTCACCGGCACAATCCTTCAAAAGCAGATCTCGATAATGGGTCATATTTCGCCCTCCTCCCCCCCCGCATACACACAGACAGACATACCGGTTCGCCTAAAAAGAGTACAGCAATCTTACGTACAAGTCGGGTTGCATGGACATTTGTAGCTCACTTGAGCAGACTTTTCATACGTGTCGGTTTTACGTCTACTCATAAGTAGATTGTTGCTTCGACAGTGAGCTCTAGTCGGAGCATCCGAGGTCGATGACACATGAAAATCTTTTAATTCAACTGGTCTCTTTGTTGCAACAAAAGTTATAGAAGCAGTCGCACTGGCTGGCCCTACGATTGGTTGTCTCGGTCAGCCAATGGGCGTGCGAGTTTTCAGCCTATTTTTACTGACTCGCCGACAGAGCATGAGGCAGTCTGACTGGGGGGCCTTTAGGCACCGGGTCTCGGCGGCGTGATTACGGATTAGCCTCTGCGAGTGTTGCGTTGGTGCGGTGTGAGCACCGTATTCTGGCCTCACTTGCCCCGTAAGATGGTACGCACGGATCTAGGCCAACCAATTCACGTTGGATCTAGATGACAGATCTCCGGCATGAGATCACTTCCGTCGGATCTCCTCGAGGCGATAGACAGCCGCCTACCATGACGGCCTGGCAGGCAGACCTCGACTCGCTGTCGTCTCGTGGCCACGTTTTGCCTCGCCAAGCTTCCAGAATGTCCTTCGCATCCGAGGCAACACTTCCGGTAGCGCTGACGTCCGAGCAGACCTCGCACTCGGCCGCACCCGCAGCTCCAGAGCTCCGTGACGAGGTTCGACTGGCGGAAACACCGGCAGCCATGACGCCGCAACCGGATTGCGCGAACTCTGCCGAACTGGCCACAGTCGGCCGCTTGGAGGACTGTGCAGGCGGCTGTTCTGTGGCAAGACCCTTCCAAGTGCCTAAGATTTTCACCACTGGGCCACCCTTGAAGTATTGGAGCAGGGGTACAGACGAAGACGACGCACAAGGTATCCTAAATGCTATTCCGTTTGAGCAAAGAACCACCGTACTTTCCATTTTGACACAAATGTCGGCCACAAGGGATCCGTTGATGCGAAGCTTAGATTCGCAGGCAGTTTGGATTGCCGATTTGCGCGGCAAAGCCCTGCTAACACCCTACTCCATGCGTGCTGAGCTTGCGGCTGTCACTTAGTGACGGACGTCCCCGAAATCAGAGACCCTTCACGAAGACCCGCGCATCACAACTTGCGCTTTTGCCTGCTTTTTATAACCTAATTTTGCTATGAATATATGAAGACCAAGATGTTGTGGT